CAATCTTCATGACTTTGCATTTGGCTGGATTGAATTCGAGAAGCCAGTTGCTGGACCACATGTCCAGCCTGTCCAGGTCTCTTTGCAGTCCTGCCTCATCATGTGTGTGTGCATGTGTGCACATGCATGTGCAGAAACTTCATAATAAACAATTGTAATAATTCAGGTGTAGGGATGTTGCAGTTCAGGGGTTCATTTAAATTCTGATGTCTTTACACTTTTAACAAGACAGCTATTGAATGAATTATGGTGAATTTATTTATTTTCTCCTAAGTAGTAGGTTGGGAGACAGAAACTGCCAAGGGAAGTACTACCACCCTGCCAAGTGAGTGTAAAACAGAAGCCTGTAATTGTTTTACATGATGGTAGGATTGCTGGTGTCTTTTTTGTGTCTTGCTACTTCTACTTACATTAAAGTCACACTACACATGCATGTACAAGCATATATATACAGACCCTCCTGGGTTTTCTTCTATATTCTTGATGGTTCTTATTCTTGTTTATTTCCTCTTATCTCCATGGGGAAGTGGAACAGAATTCTTCCTCTGTAAGCCATGTGTGTCATAAGAGGCAACTAAAATGCCAGGAGCAAGGGGCTAGTAACCCCTTCTCCTGTGTACATTATAAGTTAAAAAGAGAAACTTTTTTTTTTTTTTTTTGGGGGGGGGGGTGTCACCCTGCTTCGGTGGGATCTGGTCAGTTTGTTGAAAGAAGAAGAAGTGTTTCTTTTCTGGGTTACCCTATCTTGCTAAAGACAGCCAATGTGATTAATTGTTATTTAATAGAGTGATTGAGCCTTGAACCTGTGGTCTGACTGTCCACAAATTGCCTGTCCATTGACTTATAATTGCATCAGGAAAACAAGTGTTTGAATTGCAAGTCTCTCCAGTTTTCTGGATGGAGAATTCTTATGACCTCAGTGGTGCAGTGGTAAACAATGAACTGGTAATCATAGTTGGTAATGCAACTCTTATGTGGTGGTGATCAGTGTAGCACTGGGAGGTGCAGTGGTGATTTTGACAGTAAATACAGTGGCAATGACCGGGTAATGGTATTCAGAGTAATAATGATGGTAGTGGTTGTGGTAGTGTATGTAGTTGCTGTAGTGATGTTGATAATTTTGTGGTAGTAGTGGCTGATGAAATGTTGACTGATACTGGTAAATGTGGGTGTAGTGGTGGTGGTGGTAAATATGTTAGAAGTGGTTGCAGTGGTTATGCTGACAAATTGTGGTGGATGTAGTGTTGTGTGATGGGTGACTGATGGTGAATGTAATTATACCAATGATGGTGGTGAAAATGGTAGTAATAATGTGTGGACATAACAAGTTAGGTTAGGTAAGGTTCATCAGGAAACAGGACAAGTGTTTCCTGATGTGGGTCTTAGTCTTATGATGACCCACCACTGGAGCTTTTGGTCATCTGAGGACTTCCACTGGCTTACTGGTCCACCCCTTTAAAAATTAAGGTTATAATAATAACCATCCTAAGTAGTAGGTTGGTGGACAGCAACTGCCCAGGGAGGTACTACAATCCTGCCAAGTGATTGTAAAACAAAAGCCTGTAATTGTTTTACATGATGGTAGGATTGCTGGTGTCTTTTTTGTCTCATAAACATGCAAGATTTCTGGTTGGTCTTGCTACTTCTACTTACATTAAGGTCACACTACACGTGCATGTACAAGCATATATATAAAGACCCTCCTGGGTTTTCTTCTATTTTTCTTACTAGTTCTTACTCTTGTTTATTTCCACTTATCTCCATGGGGAAGTGGAACAGAATTCTTCCTCCGTAAACCATGCATGTCGTAAGAAGCAACTAAAATGCCGGGAGCGAGGCTAGTAATCCCTTCTCCTGTATAGATTACTAAATTTAAAAAGAGAAACTTTTGTTTTTCTTTTTGGGCCACCCTGCCTCAGTAGGATAGGGCCAGTTTGTTGAAAAAAAAAAAATATATATATACATATATATATCAGGTCACAATCGTAATGAGTTATTTATTCAAACATTAATTAGGTCACACACACACACACACACACAAAAAAAAAAAAAAAAAAAAAAAAAAAACTTAAGTGGTAATGCTTTATTTACATTGAGAAAAGTCAAGATATTTTTCCAGAATGATTTGTAATATACCACTGGATAAAATACTTTGACATTTCTGAACATTTTTGAGTGAATTGTCTCTAATTCATTAATTTTATCACATTTCAGTATATAATGAAGCATGGCATGACCATTGTCCATCTGGCAAAGTTTACATTTTGTTTGGTCTACATCTGATGGTGGTGATTTAACCCTTTGACTGTCGCGGTCGTATATGTACGTCATGGGAGATACCGTGTTTGACGTATCTATACGCATAAATTCTAGCGGCTTCAAATCGAGCGGGAGAGGGCTGGTAGGCCTACACGAGAGAGAATGGGTCTCAGTGGTCGGTGTGCACCCTGTGAAAAAAATCTGGGACTCAGCGGTGCATTGTGGGAACGCCATCTTGGTAGTCCATTTTCACCATGCCTCGCGGTAAGAAGTTCCTCACTCCTCGGCGGATTGGAGGTCTTTTGTTCCCAAGTGATAGCTCAAACAGTGATGATAGTGTCAGTGAAAGTGAATTCCATGGTTTTGAAGCGGGTGTGACCGAGAAAATTACCCAGGATAACATAATTAGTGATGAAAACCCAGATGACCCACAACCATCCACCTCTGGTGCTAGGCCGGCTCGTTCATATTCACCTGTACCAGGACGAAAGAGGAAACTATTTGTCCGTGTACAAGACTCAGATGTGAGCAGTGCAAGTGATAGTGATTTCAAGGTTATTGAAAGCACTTCTAGTTGTGACAGTGAGGGTGAATATTCCCCAGTGAAACGGCAGTATGTACGACGTCGCATGCGGTCTGGTAGTGTGCCATATGCTCTTCCAAGAGGAAGGAGTACATCTCGTAGCACATCCCGTGGCCCTACACCACGTCCTGATAGTGAAGATGACGATATTGTTACGATGGGTATAAATGATGTGAGTGAGGCAGCAGGCGGTGGTGGTGATAGTGACGGTGCCATGAGTCATGTGACACCAGCAGCGGGCCACGCTAGTGCCCGCGCTGCTGACTCTGCACAACTACAACCTGCTTCGGCCGACCCCACACTCTCACAACCACAACCACAACCTGCACAACCACAACAACATTACAATATCCAGAACGCACCAGCTGACCGCATCTGGGATTGGCATCAAGATGACGATTTTTGTTCCCAATCCCCATGACTTTGATGAAGGACAAAGTGGAATACGGCCATCATGTCCCACTTGGGAACAATCCCACTGAACTGGAATGCTTTCAGTTGTTCTTCGATGAACCCCTGATGGACATTATTGTCAGGGAAAGCAATACATACTATGAGTACACCATGGCAAACACTATTCTGTCACCAAGATCACGCCTACACCAGTGGAAGGACACAACTGTGGCAGAGATGTATCTGTTCTTTGCCACAATAATGCTTATGCCACATGTGTATAAGCATAGTGTCAGCACATACTGGGCGACAGACCGCCTGATTTCAACCCCTGCTTTCAGTGACATTATACCAGTGAATAGATTTGTGTTACTGTTACGTATGTTACACTTTCAGACAAAACCAGGCCTGACAGAAGCGACAGTTATATAAGATCAGACGTGTGTTTATGTACCTGAAACAAAAGTGCTGTATGTTTTTTTATCCCTTCAGGAAGCTTGTTATTGACGAGTCTTTGATTTTGTTCAAAGGAAGACTCTCATTCAAGCAGTATATACCAAGCAAGAGGAAACGCTTTGGTATAAAGTTATTTGTTCTGTGTGATTGCAAAACTGGTCTGGTTTTGGATATAATTGTATACACTGGCGGTAAAACAATGGAAGATACCAGGAAGTTACTGGGTATCTCTGGTGATGTGGTTAGAACAATGATGGAGCCATATCTTGGTAAGGGGCATATTTTATATACTGACAACTGGTACACAAGCCCTATACTCAGTGATTTCTTGCGAGTGAACATGACAGAATGTTGTGGCACAGTGCGTAGAAGTCGTAAACATATGCCTAGGTTCGAAGCTGGCAGTCGTAGAGGTGAAGTGCAGGTGTTTGCTGCCAATGACATCATGGCATTTCGGTGGCATGACAAACGTGATGTCACCCCTGCTGACATCAGTTCACCGACACGAAATGGTAGAGACTGGCAAGCAGAATAGAGAGACCAAAGAACCTATTGTAAAACCTGCAGCTGTGATGGATTACAACCTCAATATGCGCTTAGTGGACAAATGTGACATGCAGATTGGGTTTGCTGACTGTGTTCGCAAGAGTTATAAGTGGTACATAAAACTGTTTTTCCATCTTCTTGACATTTCCATGCTGAATGCTTATAATATGTATAAGTTGAAGACCAAGAACAAACCCAAATATGGTGAATTTTGTTTGTCAGTCATCAGACAAATAATATTCAAGTACCAAGAAACAACACCTGCAATAGACCAGCGCCCACGAAATTATCAACACATGTCCTCTCGTCTGAGGCCTGGTGATCACTACCCCATACCACTGCCTGCTACTACTGCCAAGAAAAATGCTCAGAAGAGGTGTTTTGTCTGTGGACATACCACAAAACGCCAACAAAAACGCAGAGACACTCGTTTTATGTGTGAGGAGTGTAAGACACCATTGTGCTTATACCCATGTTTCAAAGAATTCCACAAGCTGCAGCACTTCTAATAAAGTGTCCAGTGATTGTACATATGTATATATATTATAAAGCAATCGTAATAAACATTTATTTACATTGTTTGTTTGTGTAAACAAGTTTTAGCAACATTATAATGATACGAGTGTTTTTGCTATAATTGTGTTACATTTAACGAGTGTATATTTGAACATTGCACAATAATTTGGTCTCACAGGCCACAAAAGTTATGTGGAAAAAATAAAATAGTGAAAAAAACAAGAAACCATCGAATACAAGTAAATAAAAGTTTACCGGGTGAGCGGCAGTCGCCGCTGTTGCCGCCAGCAGATCAATTTCAGCAAACTTCAGGACTCTATATCTCGGTAAGTACTGATGGGAAAAAATTTTTTTTGGGACTAAAACAATCAGAAAAATAATCTTAACATTTTCATAAGAAAAAATAATTTTTTTTTTTTTCGAATATTTTGCGACACCAGAAGCAACTTCAGGATTTGGCCCTTCGACAGTCAAAGGGTTAACCTCCCAGAGATGCTTGTAACTCAGCCACACCCGGGTGGTGGTGACATCCAAGAGTCTGCTTATTTTGTTGGATGCACCTTTGACATGTGGCTCCTCCTGCATGATAGAATGATGATAGATCGAGTGACTGGTATCAATCTTCCTCAGTCTTAAGTCAATAAAATTCGGTTGAAGTTCTTTTCGTATCATTGTTCTCAAACTGACAGCCCAAGATTTTAGTTCCAGTTACTATTATATTATATATATATGTATTTGTTTTACTATTTATACTTTCTAGATACTACTGGCATAAAATTAACAAGTCACATTTATTTATCACCTCCAAAATGATGCAAATATGAAGACCTCGAGATAATTACCTCATTATATCTGACTGTTTTACTAAACCCTTGCAGATAAGACACATGGCATCATCCTGCTGTAGGACATCTATGGTTTCTTCTGAGTTCTTCACTTTAGAAGGCTTTACAGGACCATAAGCAATAGGCATGTGGACTGGAGGCTCCATTCCTGCCTGAAAGGGCAATAAAAATTAAGATAACTTCTGGCAGTTTGGGAGAGACACAGATGATGATCAAACTAAATGCATATGGTCACTGTCTTGAACACTGTGCTTAATTGTCCACTTATTGAGGAATATAGAGATAGACAGTATAATAACCTATGTGACATGTTGATAAATTGGACACATGTGCAACACTTGGGTATCTTTAATGAGGAAACATTTTGCCACACAGTGGCCTCAACAGTCCATACAAAGGAGAATGGTGAAGAACAGTAGTTTGAGGTAATCAGTCCCTCAGCCTTGAGTCGATGTGATCAGTCCATCAATCTTGAATAGAATACAGCATATGTGCAAAGAAGTTGCTTATATACGTATATAGGTAGGAGAGGTACAGCAGTCGTAGATGGTATCACATTTGTCCAATGTGGAAGTAGGTCATGCTCAAGAGTTAGGCAAGTGAAGAATTCCCTGTGTTAAGATCCCAAGATGTTGCAGTGTCAGACAGGGATGTAGATGAATGGTTCAGAGAACTGAAATGTTGATAAATTAGACACATGGGCAACACTTGGGTATCTTTAATGAGGAAACGTTTCACCACACAGTGGCTTCATCAGTCCATACAAAGGAGAATGGGGAAGAAAAGGAGGAGTTTGAGGTAATCAGTCTCTCAGCCTTGAGCCAATGTGATCAGTCCATCAATCTTGAATAGAATACAGCATGTGTGAAGAAGCTGCTTATATACTGTAGGCCTGAAAATTCAAAACAATACAGGCCCCAAGGGTTTCGGATAAAGGGATGTGACCTGTAGCAGTAGTAGAGATAATAAAAATATAGGGATATTTGCAGTTTGGAAGGGTATCTGAACTGTAATGTGTGCATGCCTCTGGCAAGACAGTGAGGAGAGTGAATGATAAAGCCACTGGTTGGTGAAACGTCTACAATAAAGATACCCAGATACTGCATGTGTCTAAATTTTTCAACTTGCCGATATTTTACACCGTTCATGTACAACTTGTCAGACACTGTAGCATCGTGGAATCTTGGTTCAGAGGACATCCACATTACCTCTTCACAGCTGCTGCTGCTACTACTACTTTGACTACTATTACTGCGACTACTGCTACTACCACCACCACCACCACCACTAACCCGTGCCTCGGGTATGACCTACTTCCACTGGGGATTCCCGCCTACCAGTGACTATGCTCTCCATCTTTCGCCAGTATAAAAGCAGCAACCTTCTTGCCTGTGGTCTAAAATCTTCACGACTATGGTGTTCTTAACCCCAACTTTAAGGCTGAGGGACTGATTACCTCATCTTTTGTAAATAGTTCTACTGTCATCAAGTCATGTTCTAGAATTTGTATTGATAAAGCCACTGGTTGGCAAAACGTCTACAATAAAGATACCCAGATGTTGCACATGTGTCTAAAATTTTCAAGAGTGAATGATAGTTAGTGTTTCTTTTTTTGGGTCAGTCTACCTTGGTGGGAGACAGCCAGTGTTAAAATAAAAATGATAATAATTGAAGGCAGTGGGTTGGTAGACAGCAACCACCCAGGGAGGCACTCCTGTCCTGCCAAGCAAGTGTAAAATGGAAGCCTGTAATTGTTTTACATGATGGTAGGATTACTAGTGTCTTTTTCTGTCTCATAAACATGCAAGATTCAGGTACATCTTAAGAACATAAGAAAGAACACTGCAGCAGGCCTACTGACCCATGCGAAGCAGGTCCACGTCCCCCCCTCCTGGATCAGCCCAATGACCCACCTAGTCAGGTCACTTCCTCTTAAGGAAGGAGCAAAGCATCAGACCTAGTAGCACAAGCTAGTCAGGTCCAACTCACACCCACTCATGTATTTATCTAACCTATTTTTAAAACTACACAATGTTTTAGCCTCTATAACTGTACTTGGGAGTTTGTTCCACTCATCCACAACTCTGTTACCAAACCAGTGCTTTCCTATATCCTTCCTGAATTTTTCCAACTTGAAACCATTGCTGTGAGTCCTGTCTTGGCTGGAAATTTTCAGCACGCTATTTACATCCCCTTTATTTATTCCTGTTTTCCATTTATACACCTCGATCATATCCCCCTTAATTCTATGCCTTTCGAAAGAGTGCAGATTCAGGGCCTTCAGTCTATCCTCATAGGGAAGATTTCTGATACATGGGATCAGCTTTGTCATCCTCCTTTGTACGTTTTCTAGTGCATTTGTATCCATTCTGTAATACGGTGACCAGAACTGTGCAGCATAATCTATATGAGGCCTAACCAAGGATATATAGAGTTGAAGAACAATCTGAGGACTTCTATTATTTATACTTCTAGATATGAAGCCAAGGATTCTGTTAGCTTTATTGCAAACACTAATGCACTGTTGTCTTGGTTTTAGATTACTGCTAAACAGAACTCCTAAATCCTTTTCGCAATCCGTAATATTAAGATCTACATTATTTAGTTTATATGTGGGCTCTCTGATCAGTATTCATACCTAAATAATGTATATTAGAGGTGATTTCCTCTATTCTGTTTATTTCAATATACAGTGGTACCCCGAGTTTCAGAAGGCTGTTCAAGTGCCGTTACCGAATGAATTTGTTCCCATAAAGAATAATGTAAATTAGATTAGTCCATTTCAGACCCCAAAAATACACTTACAAAAGCACTTACAATAATACATTTACATAACTGTTGGAGTTGGGAGCTGTACGATACTCAGGGTACCTATGTACAGTACACTACTGTATAAACATTTAAAAATATACCAGAAATGTTATAAGTGGTGCAAAGGTGACATTAAAACAATATCAAAGAGGATGACACAAACTCACTACCATTATAGTACGTTCCTCATTTAGTGACAAATTTATTTAACAACATGGTCTCAGGAACGGAATTCCGTCGTTATGTAAGAAGAGGCTGTACTGTATTGGATATTTTCAGTAACACCACTCACAGGAAACTCTTTCATGTATTCCTGCTTCAGCCATCTAACAGTAAGAGGAAGGCGGGACCAGGGTTTTTGCACGTAACATTGGGCTAAGACCTGCAGGCGGAAATTATACTGCTGTCCATTTATTCCTTTACGGTCTAAATTCTGCAAGCGACGACTTCGGTCAGGATGCTGCCATGCCCATTCAAACTGAAATTCATACACAGAATGAAATAATATACTACAGCTACTCTCAATGTATGCCTAGGAGGGGTGACTCATCTTTGATAGTACCCTGCAAGTCAAATCCTATGGATGATTCACATCCACTCTAGTCTAACACACACTTGTATAATAATTGAATGCTTAAGCTCGTACTTTTGAGCACCTCTTCCTAGGGTACAGTATCACAGAAGTATCCAGCTCATACCAAAATTACAAAATGACAAAAGCATATGAAATGTTGTCTCCCTAATAATGCCTTTAAGGAATCAAATATGATACATCTTTAGTCAGGCAAACTACCATTAAATAAAAGTTCCTAAAGAACACTGTCATTGAGTACTTCAGTAAGAGTCAAATAAAAGCTTGGTTAAGGATAATTCCAACAAGCTTATTTTGTTAGCAGAAAAGTTTAAAGGGATGGACACCCACCTCAAAGTAAATCTAATAAAATGTTCATATACTACGTATATCAGCAGCATGTGAATTTGTTGTTAAAAACCGTCAATGTTCCAGAGGAACAAAACAAAAAAAAAAATGCTTTGGCTGGGAGAGCTTAGTGAAAAGGATTTATCCTGAGACAAAAGAATCTGTTAATATCAAGTCTTTCAGCAACTAGCCTTGAAAGAATGACTAGTGGGAATAATCTACACAAAGAGAATTGCACTTTTAAAATGCTATATTTTTACCCTATAGTGGAATTTGATCAAAAGTAAATGGTGGAATATGAACAATGAAATCACAATAAAACAACAACAACAACAAACCCACAAACTGAAAATGTAAACCTGACTATGCTTCAGTTTATCTTGAACCATGATAAAATCATGAGTAAGAAATGAGGAGAAATTTAGAAGTCGGGTTAAGGCAGTGGGCGGCAAGGAAACAGCCAAGGTCAGGTCAAGCTACAGGTTCTGAAGATTTGAACATTTAATAATGAACTGAGAGACAAGCATCTACAGAATGTTACTTTTTGGTCATAGATTTTATACTCCTCTAGAACAAAACAATGTCCAAATAAAATTTGCTCTGCAGCATGTGTTCTTCACTATCTACAAAAAGCAAGACAGGACTAATTCAACAAAACACCATTTTATTATATCAGCCTTAATACCACAATATCTCTTATATGACTGTTAATCCCAGCCTTATTTCTATGGATGCTTATGTCTTCCAGTAGCATACAATGTCAAAATACTCTAAATCTTCAGAAATTGTGACTTGACCTGACCCTGACTGTCATTTCGCTTCCTTTTGCCTTGAATTTACTTCAAACTTTCTCTCATTTTCTTGCTCACTGGGAACTTCAGGTTCAGGACAGACACAGTCTAGTTTACATTAGCATTTTGCATTTTTTTTTTTTTTTGGTGAGTGAAAGGTAAAGATGAAGAGATATAATATTAGATCTAGCTGCAGAGATGGCTGCTTCATCTGGTTATTATATGAAAGAATCCAATAATGATGTTTGTTAATTATACACAACAGACAAAGAAGAGTTTGTTCTCATTAAATTGTAACCTGGTGAATGTATGTAAATTAATAGCTTGACTATGATGAGGCTACTACATTGAAAACTCTGACATCTTTTCTGAATCACACTTAACTTCACTTTGACTACAAATGATCTATTGAAAATAATTTATTAAAGGATAGTGTTAACAAAATAAGAATATTAAGTATGAAGTTTCAACATTAAATTTTTCCCATTCATAGCAAATACATGTACATACATGTATGAATTAGTTTGTGTACACTGCTGTACATACTTACTCGCAGAGCAGAAATATCATTGGGAAATCCATGGACAATCAATACCATTTCCCTGAAATAAAATATGATTTTTAAATTAATAACTCCTAACAGAACAAAGAACCTATAGTTTCACTCTGATGTGCAGTGTGTTTAATGCACCAGCTTTTCACTCTGATGTGCAATGTGTTTAATGCACCAGCTATCTCCCACCAAAGTAAGGTGACTCAAAAAAGGAGGGAACCCTTTCACCAACATCCATTCACACTCTTGTTTTGCCAGAATTGCGTACCAGGTTGGTAGACAGCAACCACCCAGGGAAGTACTACCGTCCTGCCAGATGACTGAAACAGAAACCTGTAACTGTTTTGCATGATGGTAGGATTGCTGGTTTCTTTTTCTGTCTCATAAACATGCTAGATAACAGGGATATCTTGCTACTCCTACTTACACTTTGGTCACACTTCACAGACACGCACATGCATATATATATACATACCTCCAGGTTTTTCTCCTTTTTCTAAATAGCTCTTGTTCTTCTTTATTTCTTCTATTGTCCATGGGGAAGTGGAAAAGAATCTTTCCTCCATAAGCCATGCGTGTCGTATGAGGCGACTAAAATGCCGGGAGCAATGGGCTAGTAACCCCTTCTCCTGTAGACATTTACTAAAAAAGAGAAGAAGAAAAACTTTATAAAACTGGGATGCTTGAATGTGCGTGGATGTAGTGCGGATGACAAGAAAGAGATGATTGCTGATGTTATGAATGAAAAGAAGTTGGATGTCCTGGCCCTAAGCGAAACAAAGCTGAAGGGGGTAGGGGAGTTTCGGTGGGGGGAAATAAATGGGATTAAATCTGGAGTATCTGAGAGAGTTAGAGCAAGGGAAGGGGTAGCAGTAATGTTGAATGATCAGTTATGGAAGGAGAAAAGAGAATATGAATGTGTAAATTCAAGAATTATGTGGATTAAAGTAAAGGTTGGATGCGAAAAGTGGGTCATAATAAGCGTGTATGCACCTGGAGAAGAGAGGAATGCAGAGGAGAGAGAGATATTTTGGGAGATGTTAAGTGAATGTACAGGAGCCTTTGAACCAAGTGAGAGTAATTGTGGTAGGGGACCTGAATGCTAAAGTAGGAGAAACTTTTAGAGAGGGTTTTGGTAGGTAAGTTTGGGGTGCCAGGTGTAAATGATAATGGGAGCCTTTGATTGAACTTTGTATAGAAAGGGGTTTAGTTATAGGTAATACATATTTTAAGAAAAAAAGGATAAGTATACAAGATATGATGTAGGGCGAAATGACAGTAGTTTGTTGGATTATGTATTGGTAGATAAAAGACTGTTGAGTAGACTTCAGGATGTATATGTTTATAGAGGGGCCACAGATATATCAGATCACTTTCTAGTTGTAGCTACACTGAGAGTAAAAGGTAGATGGGATACAAGGAGAATAGAAGCATCAGGGAAGAGAGAGGTGAAGGTTAATAAACTAAAAGAGGAGGCAGTTAGGGTAAGATATAAACAGCTATTGGAGGATAGATGGGCTAATGAGAGCATAGGCAATGGGGTCGAAGAGGTATTGGGTAGCTTTAAAATGTAGTGTTAGAGTTGTTCAGCAGAAGTTTGTGGTTACAGGAAAGTGGGTGCGGGAGGGAAGAGGAGCGATTGGTGGAATGTGATGTAAAGAGAGTAGTAAGGAGAAAAAGTTAGCATATGAGAAGTTTTTACAAAGTAGAAGTGATGCAAGGAGGGAAGAGTATATGGAGAAAAAGAGAGAGAGGTTATGAGAGTGGTGAAGCAATGTAAAAAGAGAGCAAATGAGAGAGTGGGTGAGATGTTATCAACAAATTTTGTTGAAAATAAGAAAAAGTTTTGGAGTGAGATTAACAAGTTAAGGGAAACCCTAGAGAACAAATGGATTTGTCAGTTAAAAATAGGAGAGGAGAGTTATTAAATGGAGAGTTAGAGGTATTGGGAAGATGGAGGGAATATTTTGAGGAATTGTTAAATGTTGATGAAGATAGGGAAGCTGTGATTTCGTGTATAGGGCAAGGAGGAATAACATCTTGTAGGAGTGAGGAAGAGCCAGTTGTGAGTGTGGGGGAAGTTCGTGAGGCAGTAGGTAAAATGAAAGGGGGTAAGGCAGCTGGGATTGATGGGATAAAGATAGAAATGTTAAAAGCAGGTGGGGATATAGTTTTGGAGTGGCTGGTGCAATTATTTATAAATGTATGGAAGAGGGTAAGGTACCTAGGGATTGGCGAGAGCATGCATAGTTTTCCCTTTGTATAAAGGCAAAGGGGAAAAAGAGAGTGCAAAAATTATAGGGGGATAAGTCTGTTGAGTATACCTGGTAAAGTGTATGGTAGAGTTTTTTATTGAAAGAATTAAGAGTAAGACAGAGAATAGGATAGCAGATGAACAAGGAGGCTTTAGGAAGGTAGGGGGTGTGTGGACCAGGTGTTTACAGTGAAACATATAAGTGAACAGTATTTAGATAAGGCTAAAGAGGTCTTTGTGGCATTTATGGATTTGGAAAAGGCGTATGACAGGGTGGATAGGGGGGCAATGTGGCAGATGTTGCAGGTGTATGGTGAGGGAGGTAGGTTACTGAAAGCAGTGAAGAGTTTTTACGAGGATAGTGAGGCTCAGTTAGAGTATGTAGGAAAGAGGAAATTATTTCCCAGTAAAGTAGGCTTAGACAAGGATGTGTTGATGTCACCGTGGTTGTTTAATATATTTATAGATGGGTTGTAAGAGAAGTAAATGCGAGGGTCTTGGCAAGAGGCATGGAGTTAAAAGATAAAGAATCACACATAAAGTGGGAGTTGTCACAGTTGCTCTTTGCTGATGACACTGTGCTCTTGGGAGTTCTGAAGAGAAGTTGCAGAGATTGGTGGATGAATTTGGTAGGGTGTGCAAAAGAAGAAAATTAAAAGTGAATACAGGAAAGAGTAAGGTTATGAGGATAACAAAAAGATTAGGTGATGAAAGATTGGATATCAGATGGAGGGAGAGAGTATGGAGGAGGTGAAATGTATCAGATATTTGGGAGTGGATGTGTCAGCTGATGGGTCTATGAAAGATGAGGTGAATCATAGAATTGATGAGGGGAAAAGGGTGAGTGGTGCACTTAGGAGTCTGAGACAAAGAACCAATGTCTTGGAGGTAAAGGTATGAATTATAGATAACAGTTTCACCAACACGCTCTTATATGGGCGTGAAGCATGGTGATGACATGTTGAAGCGATGAGAAAAGGGCTGGAGCAGTGAGGTTCATGTCTGAGCAATTTGTGTGTGAGAAAAGTTTAATAGATAGGATACGATGGAGGTATATAGTAACAATATGTTTCATTGCCGCTACTAGTTAAGTAGGGGTAGTCCACTCCTACCTATTCCCTCCACCCCGGCTCTTTTCTCCCCACCCTAAAGTGATAGTCTGATTGCCGGCTGCCTTGTTAAGTAGGGTCAGTCTAGCTCGCTAATCGCCTTCCCCTCCCCCCCCCCCTCACCCCGAAAGGTGACGTGTGGGGCTCCTGCCAAACAGTAATCACTAGACCACAGCACCCAGCACTACAGTAAGTACATGAGCCTGCCTTGTATTCTAGTGGATTTATTGGTTGAAAAGCTTCACTGTTGACCTATAATAAATTTAGTCCTTTCATCTAGCTCTAAGTTGACTGTTGTAATAATCACCACATCTTTAGGGTATGTACTATCATGGAAGTGATTTTCTAAAGCAGTGGGTAACAATATCCTATCTTTCCAGCTTGAATAACATGAGAGGGTCACCTCCAATCAACGAGTAGAATTGAAAGGAGATGGACTAACGACCTGAAGACTTCCCCTTTTTGGATTTAATTACCTGCACCTGTATGAAATTGCAGGACTAACTCCTCATATTGCAGCGGTAAAGAACTCATGCTTTCCGTCATCGGCTAGAATACTCAAGGCTATACTGTGAAGAACTAGCCAGTGGGGTTGTATCCAACACCTGTGACCCCCCCCCCCCCATCATCACAACCTGGCTACGATTTCAACAACACGCAGTGTCCACCAACACCAGACACCCAAGTTAATAATATATATATTAGCGTTGAGTTCAATATCATTTGATAGGGGATGGGGGATGGGGAGGGAATGTAGGATCAATATTTCATATTTAAGTGTTTTATTTTTTATACTTTCACTAAATAATAAAGTGTTTTATGTTTGTCAGTTTTTTTATTCTTTTTTTCTATACATTAATTTTCCTGAAGGAGCCAGCCTTAGTAATACAGACTGAAGTTGTTACAGGGCTGAGTAAGCCTTCACAAGTGGCGACCTTGCCAGGACAACCTCTACTGAATCAAGATTCATTCCAATCTCGAATCTACCTTGGGAACTTCAACGGCCGCATACCACAGACGGTTACCACCAGCCATGATATGATTCTCCTATGGAGACTACAGTACAGGTATTAAAGAATTGGTGATGTAATAGTCTCAATTTATTGAAGTCAAGTCAAGGCAGATATAATATTTAATTCTGCCACCTTTTTGTTCGAGCTTGAAAACACTCGAGGATTAGACCTCTAGGGACGCCCTAGATTTTCCAGAGACACTTTGTTTCATTGAGCATCTTTATTTTATCAAGGGAAGTGTCCATAGGAAACTCTTGATTTGTTGGTGAGAAGACTGGATGGTCAATGACCCATCTACTTACTGGTTTTGCTCAAAGCCGGCATAGAACCCTTCCATTTTCATTAATACATATAGTTTAATTGAAGTAGGGATCGAGCCCTCTGGTTTATTTACAATTTGAGCGGAGCAGGAATTGAACCCTCCATTTTCTTTAATACCCATTTCATTTTCCCCTGGTAGTTTAAGTTATTCTTGCAAATTATGGAGGAATACCAGTTTTGGATGAACGATGGAAGTTAGGAATAACAGGGAAAAATTTAGAATCCTTCATTAGTGCTAAGATCCAGAAAAGACTTGAAAGAGAGAGAATTGAGAGAGAAGAAGAGAAAAAGGAGAGAGAGAGAGAATTGAGAGAGAAATCCAAGAAAGACGGTTAGAAAGAGAAAGAGAAGACAAAAAGGAGCGTGATAGAGACTTGATCGTAAAGAAAGAGCTAGAGAACGTGAGGAACAGCTAAAATACGTGAGGGAACAGCTAAAATAAGAGAACTGAGGAAAGAGCAAAGGATAGAGAAGTGAGAAAAAGCTGAGAATCGTGAGGAAAAACTAGAGAATTTGAGTTTAATAAAGAGAGAAAAGGATCGCAAGCTCGAAAAAAACTCGCCCTTGAAATTAACATAAAAACTTAACTCTTACACAACAACAATTATTGAAGGATAATTGAACATCATGCAGCTAGTGCACATATTCCAACACCTAATTTACCTCCCTTCACAGAGGGGGAAGACATAACTACATACATTACAGTTTTGAAAAATACCGCTAACCCTCGAATGGCCTGCTGACACCTGGGCTACCCAGGTTTAAGGAATGTTATTTTCTGTACAGCCTTGAATATCTATGCAACTTTGTCACAGTTGGATATCATAGTAATTATAACCTACTGAGAAGGCAATCTTAAAGCATATCTAAAAACACTAATTCCTTTCAGAAAGAGTTCAGGTATGCAACCTTACAGCCTTGGGCCAGAACTTTCACAGTTACAGGTAACACTCTTTCCGTTTATTCGACTTTTATTCAGGATTGATCACAGTTATATATGAATCGCGAGTTCGGCTGTTGCTGACCATTCCTGACAGCTCGTCCACACCAGATACGAACATCATCAGAGAACATAACCTGATTATAGCTGAGGAAGTTTGCTTGAGGCTGCAGACCTGTATGCTGAGCTCACAATTCTATAAAGAACCTAAAGGATCGAACCCTAAGGGCAAGGTTCATCAAAGCCCCAGTGGAAAGTAAATGACTTCTTGTCTTTTATCCTGTTTGTCATTGTGTGGTGTTAAGGACATAAACGTCCAGCTTGCCCTTCTAAAATCCAAAAAGTGGGAAGATGTTTTTAAAAAGGCTGTAATGACTAAGCACCCCTTCTGTTCAGGAACAGTAATGGACTTAATGTATCTACCATTTACGAGACACTGGATGCACATGTAAGCATTTCTGATAAGCTGTTCCTCTAACCTTAAAGAACATCTTCCTCTGCTATACTTCAGACTACTTGGGCCATACGACACTTTTCCTACCATCCATTGTTAACATTAGGTCTAAAGGGTTCACAGGTTGGCTGAACCTACTAGCTCCCATCACTTTCATGCTCCGTACTAATAGTAAATGTAAAAGGTGCCAATCTTCCTTCTGAGTTGACCGTTCATCCCAAGTTGGACATAGTGTTTCAAGATCCTCTTTCTGAGAGTCAGAGAAGCCCCTCGAAAGTTCAGATGAGACAATGTCCTCGTAAGATTCATGTGGATTAAAAACCAGTGATGCTACTCCCCGAAAGCGAGGTATAGGATCACCGTTTCACTAATTAGATGAAAGTGAAAATATCACCTCCGATACTAAAAATGTCTTTGACTAAATGTCTTCGACTGAGCAGTCGAAGATCAA